CCCCCCCCCCCCCCCCCTGAGGCGATAGTTCCGATACATAAACGTGAATTTTTGGCTGTAGACATGGAGAGGAAAGACGTGGCGTCGCAGGACCTGCCATTGGACGGGTCACCGGGGTGCGGTCTGGGCGCCAGCTGCATGCCTAATCAGGCTCCCGACAGTTCCCGACAATCTTAGGTTGACCAGAACTCCGGATCCGCGCACCTTGACGACGCGACCAGTTCATACTGCTCATTTGTTATCATTCATTTTGCTCGCTTCTAAAGCTGCTTTGATGAACTAAATTTTTGTGATTGTTTGCAGCGGAATGGTATGCCCAGCAGGATCCCTCTAGGTTTACGTTTTACGTCGGGGAGACTGTAACATCCATTGAGCATGCCGCCCACACGGTGTCCACCGATAAAGGAAGGGTAATTAAATACGACTACTGTGTAATAGCGACGGGATCAGAAGCTACGTTGCCTGATTATGTCGATCTCAACGTCCCAGGAGTCTTCGTCTATCGAAATATTTCTGACATGAACGAATTACTGGAATATGCAGCGAAAGACAGTATCAGTGGAGGGAACGTGAGTATCACCTTTACTCCTCACGGATGCCATGCTAATGTCGCTCGCAGGCAGCCGTTCTGGGTGGAGGACTTCTTGGACTGGAAGCAGCCAAAGCGGTGGACGACCTCGAAACTATCAAAGATGTTACTATCATCCACAGGCAGGCATATCCCCTCTCTCGTCAACTAGATACGCTCGGTGGAGAGATTGTTCGTCGTCGCATTGAGGCACTCGGAGTTACATTCCTCGGGCCCGCCACCGTATCGCACCTCGTTACCAACCCTTCTGGTGCACTCTCCGCTCTTGAGCTCACCGACGGCTCCACTGTGCCCTGCAGCATCATGGTAGTCGCGGTCGGAATCACACCCAGAGACGCGCTCGCGCACGCATCTGGAATCACATGTGCACCAGGACGCGGGATTGCAGTAGACGACAGCCTATGCACCAGTGCTCCGGACGTATTTGCTATTGGCGAGTGCGCAAGCTGGCATGGACACACGTACGGACTTATTGCACCAGGTGTTGAGATGGCGGATATCCTGGCGTTCAACCTCACCCAGACCCATACCGACGTGGGGGAATTTAAGCCAAGGAAGATGAATGATCCAGATCTATCGACGAAGTTGAAGCTCATGGGTGTTGATGTATGTTTTCAGCTGTATTCTTTTATCAATATTATCGTTGAGCCTGAGTAGGTAGCCTCCTTTGGAGACTTTTTCGCGGAACAACGTCTTGCGACCTGCAGTTCCATGAACGCTTTGGCTCGCATGCGACAATCTACTCTCGCCGACGCCGTCTCGATCTCACGCAAACAACGCGATGCGAATCGCCCTAACCCAGTCTGGGAAACCACCACAGCACTCGCCGAAACACAAGCACCCATGACCGCGGATGGAAGCCACGGCTCTGACACCACGACGAATATGATAACGGGATTGAACTCAGGATCTGATGTCAAGGTACCACGAGATGTAACGTCTCCGCGAAAACGCCATGGTACTACTGTTGCAGCAGATAGTCGTGTGGAGACTGTCACGTATCGTGATCCATTCGCTGGCGTTTACAAGAAGTACGCTACTACCTCACAGTGAGGGTGCCAGCGCTGACACGTGATCTCTGCCAGGTACATATTCAGTGCAGACGGTCGTCACATCCTCGGTGGGATGATGGTTGGTGACACGGCCGATTACATCAAACTCGTCGCACTAGTGAAGAAAAAGGTTTTATCCATCGACTTTGTACTATGTTTGCCTGCTCATTTTGCTTATGATGCCGTGTAGAAAGCTCTGGAAGTCCCGCCGTCACAGTTTATTATCGGCTCAGGAACGAGTGCCGGCGACGCAGGTGATGATCTTGATGATGATACACAGATATGCAGCTGTCATGTAAGCATTATCTTGTTTGCTACAGTGAAGAGGTTGACTGAATGGTGGGCTATGAGTAGAATGTAACTAAGGGACAGATTGTGCAATGTATAAAAGACGGCGCGGAAACCATCGTTGATATTAAGAAGCGCACGAAGGCAGGCACAGGATGTGGCGGTTGTGCGTATCATTTCTCACATATTGAGCACTTTGCAAATGAGTGCCGCCTTCCACCATTTCTCCTAGGCGTGCCCTTCATGACAAACCTATTCAAGGCGAGTATGAATTAAGTATGGCCTAACTACTTTTAACTCTTCGTTTTTATTTCAGTCAGAAATGAAGAAGGCCGGCAACGTCATTAGCGATTCCCTCTGCCCGCATTTTGCCATGTCCCGTGCCGACCTATTCGATGTCGTCAAGTGCGATTCTCACCCTCTGACATCGCGTCAGGCACCTCATGTGCTACCTTTGATAGATTCAAGAAACTGAAGACTTTTATGGAGATTATGGAGACGGTCGGTGTCAACAAGAAGTCGATTGGTTGCGAGGTGTGCAAGCCTGCCATAGGAAGCATACTTTCGTCCTTGTGGAACGAGCACATCATGAACCCAGCACATCATGCGTGAGTAGTTTTTTTTTTTAGCTCAAGCTGTTCTACAATTTGTGTCCAACTCAATACGATATCTCTACACAGGAACCAAGACACGAATGACAGGTGCGTGTCACGATGTTGTTCGGCCCGGAAGCTTGCATGAAAATCATGACAGGTTCATGGCGAACATTCAGCGCAATGGTTTGTCCCACAGCGCGAACCAATAATCACTTTCCCATGTACTGATACACGTATAGGAACTTTCTCTGTCGTTCCTAGGATCGCTGCGGGAGAGGTATGTTACAGCGGCGATGTCTTGTCGCATCGATCTCGTTAGTTACATCAAATTCACAGATCACACCTGACAAACTCATAGTGCTGGGACAAGTCGCGAAAAAGTGTGAGTATCTTACCTCACCATACAATTCGCGAGTGCCGAGCGGCACTTCCTTTTAGACGGGCTCTATACCAAGATAACTGGTGGGCAGCGTGTGGACATGTTTGGTGCACAAAAGGCGGATCTACCATCTATCTGGAAAGAGCTTACCGACGCCGGATTTGAGAGTGGGCATGCATATGGTCAGCCGTCATTCGGTTTTCATCTTGAATTATGCGTTGAAGTATCTGCAGGAAAAGCCTTGCGAACGGTCAAGTCTTGCGTTGGTACGAACTGGTGTCGCTATGGAATTGGCGATTCTGTCTCACGTACGATCACATTTGCGCTGATACACTAAATGTTAACCACAAGTGTGCATTTCAGTGGCCATTCAGCTTGAAGAACGGTATAAAGGGATACGTTCACCTCACAAACTCAAGGGTGGCGTTTCCGGATGTGTCCGAGAGTGTGCCGAGGCTCAGGCAAAAGATTTCGGACTCATTGCAACTGATAAGGGTTGGAACAGTAGGTTCCTTTTCACCGAGGTCGGAATTTCAATGACACCCCTTCTTTTATCGCAGTATTCATATGCGGTAATGGAGGTGTCAGCCCGAGACATGCTACTCTTTTCGCCAGTAATGTGCCACCATCCAAAGTTATCAACATTTTGGATCGTTTCATTATGTTCTATGTACGAACTGCTGATAAACTCATGCGAACGGCCCGGTGGCTGGATGAGATGGAAGGAGGTATTGAGGTACAGATTGCATTTACGATCTCGGCCAATGTCTGACTGATGATATTACCATTCTTATAGAGGTTGAGGCGTATCCTTCTGGACGATGTACTCGGGATTTGTGAGGACCTAGAGCGCGAAATGGAAGACCTCGTAGGGACGTACTTCGATGAGTGGAAGGCGGTGGTCGACGACCCTGAACGTCAAAAACAGTTCCGTCAGTTCGTCAATACAGTATGTCTCAGCACTCCATACTCTAGATACAGTTCCTGGTGCTCACTATGCTGCGTAAGGACGAACGTCGACATCAAGTCGAGCAGATCACAGAACGTGGACAGCCCCGTCCCGCAGATTGGGCGAAGAATTTCCCCCCGGTGCATTTGAGTGAAGACGACCTCAAGACACCAAAGTCTATGTGGAAATGGAGGAAGATGGCACAAGTAGCTGATTTGATGCCCACGCAGGCTGGTACGACGTAGGTTGCTAGGCGCA